TATTTATTTACTTTGTTCATTAGGTGATTGGGACTGAAGCTAGGGCATTGTACAATGCTGGGCAAGCAACAGGGATGACATTTTGGGCACCAAACATTAACATTTTCAGGGACCCAAGGTGGGGGAGAGGGCAGGAGACACCTGGCGAAGACCCATTGGTGGTAGGCAAATACGCCGTGTCGTATGTGAGAGGCGTTCAAGGCGATTCTTTTGAAGGAGGGAAGCTCAAGGTCGGTGGTCGTCTTCAAGCTTCTGCTTGCTGCAAGCATTTCACAGCTTATGATTTGGACAACTGGAAAAGCGTCACGCGTTTTGGCTTCGATGCTCGTGTGAGTTTTCTTCAATTGGTCCATTCAAATTCTTGCTTGGAATTTTTTGTTCTTTTTTTTTGTTTTTTATTTCAGTCACTTTGTGACTTTGTTGGGCAAAATTCAAGATTCCTCCTTGGATTAAGTGCCATAAATTATATATTTAATTTGATAAATATTGAGAAGAACTTTATTGGGTTTTGAATTTGTCAGTTAATAATTCACTTCAATTAATTTTTCATTATTCTTGTGTGTATTGTCGGTCGAAAAACAGAGATCACAGTCCACCATACCTTGGTGTTCTCATATTTATAGAGAAAAATAAAAACGAAATATAATTATCTCATATTTATAAACGTGTTATTGGGGCATTGATTTTATTTTATTTTGGGTGTTTTGCAGGTGAGTGAGCAAGACCTAGCAGACACGTATCAGCCTCCATTCAAGAGCTGCGTGCAGCAAGGCCAAGCCAGTGGCATAATGTGTGCTTATAATCGTGTCAATGGGGTTCCAAGCTGCGCAGATTACAATCTCCTAACCAAGGTTGCTAGAGGCCAATGGGATTTTCATGGGTACTTTACTTTAATTACAAAATGCTGTGCTTCTTTTCTCATCATGGTTTGTTTGGAATTATCTACTTTTGCGATCACCGTTTTCCCTTTAACTATGGACATTTTTACGTCAATTTTCATGATAAGATAAGATATTGATTCTGCATTGTTGTCGACATATAATTAACAGTTTAAAATAGTTTAAAACTTCGTATTTTCAATGCGGAAAAAAAAAAAAGACAAAGCAGATGTTGGTGAGACTAGTTGGTTAAGTAGTGCGCTCGTCTTCTTATACCCGAGTTTAGGGTAATTTAGAATATTGTCTGTGAGAAAAAGACAAAAAATGCCTGATAAAATAAAATTTCTGTTTTTAACTCTCAATGTCAATAAAATCCAGCTATTGATGAGCTTGAATTCGAAAATGATCAGGTACATCACGTCGGACTGCGATGCGGTGTCCATCATTCGCGATGTGCAAGGGTACGCTAAAACGCCCGAAGATGCAGTCGGTGATGTGCTCAAAGCAGGTAATGTGGGGCCCTCCCTCGTCTTTTTCTAATTTGTTTATTTTCCCATGACATGCCACATGCGTCTGTTTCTCAGTTTCTGAGTACTTTTTTGTTGTGTAATGTCAAACCTACCCCTGTTGGGCTGTACATTCTGTGCGCATTATCTTTTGATTTGAGGTCAGGGCCCATTTGGGGATATATGGGCCCACCCACTTGATCAAACTTTATGGTCTTTTGCTTGAAAGTCAAAATTAAAAAAAAGTAGCTGGTCCTTGTTCTCTTAAAATGGACTTCTTGTTCTCTTTATGGATGCATGGCTTATAAGCCTATTATCAATTCCCTTTTTCTGCTAGTAACAAGTGAGAGGAAAGTTGGATTGTTTTAGACAGTCCCGATCTCTTGGACTACAGGGGTCCAAGAGATTTGTGGTCACTTACCGTTGGATGCAAATTCAATGGTTCACTCACTCTTGCACTCCTTTTAAGAAACTTTTTTGAACCATTGGATTAATA